GTATCAGAGGGAAAATTCCTCTCTCTACAGTTGCTAAGGAGCATGACCAGGTGCTCTGGCCTTCATGTTACACCTGTGGGCTTCCCAAAAGTATTTAGTTGGCTGCTGTGTGAACAGAATGTTGGACGAGGTGACCCATGGGCCTGATCCAGTCTGGCTCTTGTGTTCTAAATTTGCAAAGACCTGAAACCAGGTTAACCAGACAATGTATGCGAAACTAATTTAAGCACAAATAAAACACTAATAGAACTGAACTACTTGGACATATTTGAAGCTTTCACCATGACCTACTTTTATAATATTGCAATAGAAGACAGATTTCTTTTGAGTTTACATTTTTAATTTGCAGACTATTATTTTTATATACATACCATTGCATTTGAAAACTTAAATGAGAGAAGGTAAATCTTTTATCTTTTCTAGAAATGCAAGCTCCTGACTTTGACACTCTACCGAGGTAAGAATCATGGGTTTGAAGAGGGGCGGAATGGCCACACCAAACTAAAGACCCACTGAGTCAATTGGACTAAAGTAATTTATTTATTTATTTGATTTATACCCCGCTCATCTGGTCAAATCGACCACTCTGAGGGGCTTTCATTCCCTCTCTCGTTAGACATGCATTTCCTCCATGGAATAAAGCTCTGGTATGTTCTGGGATTTGGGTACAGAAACCTGGGTTACAAAAGGTAAATATTTCATTACAGAGTTTTCTCAAATCCTGATTGTTCATCTCTGCAGCCAACAAGAATCAAAGAGGAAAATCTGCAGTGGGCATTTCTTCCATAATAAAGTCCTATTTCCAGCTGTTCTTTAAAGAAGCATTTATTACTTACACCAAAGTGTAACCTTACTCTTCTGTTCTCAATATTGTTCAAGCAACTTCAGCTGTAGAATCTAGAAACTCAAATCTTCAAAACTCGGGGCTGGGAAAAGCAGCACTTTTGCTTCTGTGTGCTATTTCCCTACCCAGGAGTCTGTGGAATCACAGTCAGTGTTTGGACCAACTCTGTCCTGTTGCAACCATCTGAGTTCCCGAGAAAGATGGTCCACCAAGTGTCTGTTTCCCAACAGTTCTGGTTCTTTGGCCCAAAAAACTCTCTGAATTATCGAGCCGTTTGACAAGGAGGTACTCCACCAGACTTACGCTGTGCCTCATCTATGTGTCCTTTCCATCCTCTGTTTTCATTAGACCATGAATAAAAGCAAGGGCAGTTCATGAACTGAGCAGACAGAGGGATTCACCCCAAAATTTCGGGAGACGTTTGTGGCCCTTTGGTGCAGGCATGAGTCCCCACCTGAGTTTCTGAAAAGGATGGTCCAGCAAATCCCCATTCCCCAACTATCCTGGTGGACTGGAACAGTTTGACAAAGAAGGGGATCAGTGGAATTCTCTGACTGTTCCATCCCTCTG